TACAGTGATTTGTACAGATAAAAATATTATCCAGCGCTCAATAGTATTTCCACACAGTTACCACTGCCCCGCAATATCAACATCGGTCGATATCAGAATTAGAAATTTAGTGCTTGGACAATATCGGCATATCGGTAAAATGTTAATATCAGACATCCCTAATCTAAACATATATTTTCATTATTGTATGTATATATACAATAACTATAAATACATGCATACATATATACATCCATATATAATCATATTCATATATATTTAAATGTATCTATATATTTTTTTTATTTATATGATTTATATATTTTTGTTAGGGATGTCCAATATTAAGTTTTTGCCTATATCTGGTATGCCAATATTGTCCAAACACTTTATTTCCAAATCTTATACCAACCGATACAGATATAGACCTAGTAATTATTTTTTATTCATCTATACAAACAACTGTAGGTGTTACTGGCACCAGCATTCTGCATTCAATCCCGATTATTAAAATAGATTAATTAAATGAGCTGCAATGCTGCCATCTACTGTCTTTCACTTTCATATACAGCTCTTTATTCCAATAACTATTTTTAGGGCACACATCAATCGGCATTGCTTTATGGAATTTTCATTAATGAAAGAAATGCTAATATCAGGTGTTCGATAATATTGTCTGGCTGATATTAACAGACATCCCTAATTTATATGTATAGATGCACATGTATATTTATTAAGTCACAACCAGACCAAGTTGGTCAGACCACTGATGAAACACGGCGTGTTTTTATTACAGTTCTCCACCAAACATCTGGGAGCTCTGGCAGAGTCATGTACATTACCTCACACAGAATCTAATAAGTCTTTTTCTGTCGTTTTCTAGGCCCAGCAATCAAGGAACTGTGGAAGATACGTCAGTATTGTACAGCACAGTCAAAAAACGTTGCTCTTAAAAGAAACCTGAATTAGCAGATACAGTTTTATTGTAGACATTCATCTTTCCCATTACACAGGCCACTTGTATTGTAAAATTTCTGTCATTAAATCAATAATCTGCAGGTTGCCACCATAGGACAAGTTGAAGAAATTTGAGGGGTTTTTTTGTCAGTGAAATATGCAACAACTTGTCAAGGGACTATGATTGTTTTCAAAAAATTCAATATGTAGAGGCACTAAAAGACGAAATAACGTGATAACTACAACAAGTTAAACGGGAATGAACGCAGCAAAACAAATTGAAGCAACCAGAAGATAATTTCACAGCACGGCGACACTTTGTAACATCAGTTAAATGAAAATGCCACAAAGGCGAGCCATTTGGTGGCAGCATTGATAGACAATAGTGCTGGGAAGACCAACTCTTTTTACTGATTCGAATGCTTGACTCTCGAACAGTAAAATGAACGAATCCTAAACTAATTATTTCATTCATTTTACCGCAGGTGGCGCTGTAGCCCTATTGTGGGCGTTGTAAAGAAGGATGCGGTTCTCTCTAAATTTGTTGATATAATCTTCGAAAATATTTATTTACATACACACTTTACACAATAACACCATATACAGCTACCAGAGCTGAAAACCACTAATTATGATTTCATGAATAAATAAGCACGTAGCCTGTCACGTGACCAAAGAACGAGGACGGACGCTGAGAATGAATCATTCACTCATTACTCGCGGGAGTAACGAGTGTATTAAAGACTGCGTGATGAAAAGTGGTAGAGAAAATTTGACCTTGTCAGCAGATGACTAACAGATACACAAAATAAAGTGTACTCATCCTACTATATCAAATAATAATGAAATATAATACTAAACCAATACAACAACATGTACACTTACGACATCCTTTCAGGGTGGTTGACGACTGATGGAAACAGATTAATTGGAATCTCCTTGTCACCGCTATTCGCTTATCCACTACTAACTCTGGGCGGACGAAAACGGATGTACCACTGCAAACCGGAAGTGTCGTGTTACTAGTTAGCTAGTTTTTAAAAAACACGATAAATAGAAAAAAAAGTATTATTTTATTTTTATTATTAAAGTTCGAAATGGTTATTTGACTGATTGTAAGATGTTATACAATTTTAAATGTATGAAAAATGCCAAATGGTTACTTTTTATGGAAACAATGCTGTTTCTAGGACATATGTTTCTTTCACATGTTTCTTTGTGAAACTCATTTTGGTGAGACTGGTTTGGTTCTTACAGGCCACAGAAATACTTCCTCAAAGAATTTTAAACAAATAAAAATCAGTTCGAGCTTGCAAAAACCACAAGTCACTTCTTTATTTTACTCTCTCTTTCTATCAGCTTCAACTTGTATGTAAATCTTGTCCTGTAAAGAGGAAGAAAGGTGGGCGTATTTAAAGTATGAATTCTAACTTCCGCTCACTGTTCATTGTGAATCCATGAGTGACAGAGTGACAACCTCATGGACCTAGTTTATTTTTTATTTTATCACAGACCTTCTTTTTTAATGTAAAGTAGAGATGAGATCTGCAGTAGAGAGTTTGACCACAGCAGTAAAAAGATTTCTTCTTCTTCTTCTTCTCACTCTGCCAGGTATTGTACGTCTCCATTATTACAGGTCACTCATCATTAATCTGGTTCATCTACTGTACATCCAAATAGACAAAAAAGTATTGAGTACAAAACTTTACTTTCATCTTTACTTTTTCTTTAATGTGTTGCACATACTTATTCAGTAGGAATTTCACCTATGAGTCAAACATAATTTTATTTGATTTCTCAACAGTTTTTAACCATTTCAAGATAAATGGACTGAGACATTTTAAACAAGTACAAAATGTAAAAAAAAAACAACAACCTCAAATCTATAATGTTGATTAAAATATCTGTATTTGGTGGAATTGTTTTTTTTTTTTATCTTTGACACAGTGATGATGTTTCAGTTAAGAGGAAGGAACTAGACCTGACTGAGCTGTTAACACTTGTCTCAGAGCATCAGACTCTTAAAGGAGCCTCACCCTCTATTTAGTTTAAGAAATAAAACTGAAGTCAATCAGCAGATCAGTGGTGACATGGAACACAGTGAGGATGTGATGCTCTGTCAGCTCAGACAGCTGTTAGTCACTGCCCCAGTCTATTTGAAGAAATGAATTAAGTTCAACTGAATTCTTTAAGACTTTTCTGTCCCCTTTGCAGGATGAGACACATATTTTTCATATTATTACGACAACTAATAATACTGTTTTTTATCTCTGTGTTACAGTGACACAGAGTCAGAGAGGATATTCTGTGACCTACACTTCTACTGAGGTCTGTGTCCTCAGAGGATCAACAGTGGACATAACCTCCAGTTACAGTTACCCAGGCTCAGTGAATCGCCGTGTTACCACAGTTCAGGAATCATTCTGGTTCATCAAAGAGAGTAATGGTGTTTATGTTGATCTGAGATCAGACCCAGATTATTCTGGTCGTGTGGAGTATTTGAATGAAGACAGGAAGTCCACTCTGAGAATCAGAGACCTGAGAGAGAGTGACTCGGCTGAGTACAAGTTCAGGTTTGTTACAAACCAAGATGGAGGGAAGTTTACAGGTGACCCTGGAGTCACTTTGTCTGTCAGAGGTAAAGTTTACACTTTCAATGATTAAGTTGGAAATGTCCTGTATGTTGTATCTCTATGTTATGTTGTGTTTGTTGTCAACAGACCCTCAGCTCCAGATAGATGTGAGGAGATCAGTTGGTCAGTTTTCTACCTGGACACAGCTGACATGTCACAGCAGTTGTCAGCTGTCTGATCATTTTTCCTACGTCTGGTACAAGAACGGACAGAGAGCTGGAGGAAAAAACTATCTTCACTTTGACAACATCAGTCCAACAGACAGTTTTGACTGTACTATAGAAGGACATGAGCAGATACGTTCTCCTCCAGTCTGTGAGTCCATCAATCTCTTTTACTTTAACTTAAAAAGGAAAATTGTGAGCGTGAAGATACAGTGAGGAAGTGGAGATTATTGAAAAAACATGACCATGAAAGAAACAGAAG